TCTTCGTGTCAGTTACTTCCTTACAGTCTTCAGCAAATGGAGCCTATTCTTAGGTCCCTGGAATCTGAAAGAATGCTATCACTTTAAATATCCAAAATGGTATAACTGCTTGTTAACATTCAAAATGGCTGTGCCCTCTGGACAGCTGAAAATCCACAGCTCAGCCCATCTCCCTCTTCACTGCTTCCCCTTTTATTCACCAGCCACCAGTATAGTCCTTCGTGCAGCCCCTGGCTATCAGGGCCACTTGGCAACATCCAGGCTATCTATGCTGTCAGGATAGCTAACAAACCACAGGTCTGTATGTCTCCTTTTTTGGTGTTTTCATTTAGATTCTTCTACTAGTTGGAGTTTAGTCCACTTCTGTATCCTTCCTTTCAATGCTTAGGACCCCAGGATTATCTTCTTCATCTGTGTTACTTGGTTCCCCTTTTCTTTGTTGAAGAAGGTCTGTGTTAGTTAGTCTGCCTATTCTGCCATCTTACCAGAACTCCCAATGTTTACTTTAAGTTCTTAATCCTCTTTTGAAATTTTATCTTTGTTTCCTTTTGTGAATGTCTAACTCTTTTTTCATGGGTTCAGGCAAAACAAAATGTTTTCCAGTCTTTGTCTATCCTAATTATGTTAATTAAAATATTGTGAGCTTTTCAGCTTTTTCATTGGACATTTTACTTGAATGGTATGTTTTCTACTTTTATTAACTGTGGAAGCAATTTAAAAAGTGAAAAACAGTTGGGCAGAGGAATGCTTTGACTTTTGTACATTTGTGAATCAAATTTAAGGCCAGCAGATACATAATTCTCTACTTTGTCAATTTCAGTTGAGTTAACTTTGGTATATTTTTTAGATAATAATTTTTTGATACATCTTAGGGAGATAGAATCAAGCAAGTTTTTCTTCTATCCCCAAATAAATTACATTAATAAATTAAGTATTTAAGAAAATTGATAAAGCAGTTCATGGTGTAATTAGTAGATAGAAAATACCATCAAGTGCAATAAAAGTGTTAATAATTTTTTACTGTGTCATTTGTGTTTACGTTTTTTTCTTCTTATTTTATAGGCAGTAGATATAACTTCTTGTGGCAACTTTGCTGTAATCGGACTCTCCTCAGGAACTGTAGATGTGTATAACATGCAGTCTGGTATACATCGAGGAACATTTGGCAAGGAACAAGGTACTGAAGTAGCCCTTTTCCTTTTTTCTTTCTTTTTATAAGTAGATACAAGGATAATCATATTTATGAAAGCTTTAAGTGCCAGGAGTTTGGTAAGAGTTAGATAAGTTATCTTCAACTCTATATGGCAGATACTACCGTCATACCTATTATAAGTACCATGTTGGGATGTAGGTGGTTTCCGACTTATCAACATAATTGAATTATGATGAACCACATTTATGTCCTTCCTTCCCCCCCATATTTATACTTCATACTGTTTTGCAGCATATAATTTGCTGATACCATTCTCAGTTGCTCACTCGTGGATGTTCAAAGATCAGATTTATAAAGATACTTATATAAAGATAATAAAAGGCAATAGTAGTGAAAACTGAAAAAAAAAATTATATAGAGAGAGGTCAGTACTGGCTTAAGATGTTGTTGTTTGAACGACACCCTATTGTAAGTTGGTGGCTACCTGTGCTCAAAAAGAATTGAATCACAAGTATATTGGGGAAAACTGGATATTATACAAATTAAATTTTTTGTTTTCTTCTGAAAATCTTAGCTGTCTTTTGGCATGTTGTTCATGGCTTCAACCTAATGATTTTTTTAGTGTTTATATGAGCATATAATTAGGAGCTCTGGTAGCATAGTGCCTAAGGCACTTGACTGCTAACCAGAAGGCCGGCAGTTCAAACCCACCAGCCACTCTTTGGAAGGAAGGTTGGGCAATCTACTGCCATAGTGATAACCCTTCAGAAACCCAAAGAGAGGTCGCTATGAGTTGGGGCCGACCCGACAGCACATAACAACAACATAATTAAGAATCTTCTCCCTATCTCAAAAATGGGTTACAAGGTTTTAGAAGATATAAATAGTGGGAGCTTAGATGCTTGGATAAAGTAATTGCTCATGCAGAGAGGCACTGCTAATTTGATTTTTTTCTTTCTTTCTTTCTTTGAACATACTTTGAAGCTCATAAAGGATGTGTTAGAGGTGTTGCAGTGGACGGATTAAACCAGTTGACAATTACAACTGGTAGTGAAGGATTACTAAAGTTCTGGAACTTTAAAAACAAAATGTTAATCCATTCTGTGAGTCTCAATTCATCTCCAAGTATGATGCTGTTGCATAGGGACAGGTAAGAAATTTAATGGTAATGATAGATTTTCTTCTTGATGTTTTAGGTAAAAGTTCTTAATTCATGTAAACTCTGTAACTTATCAAGTGGGAAAAAATTAGACTTTTTTTTAATAAAGAATGTTGCATAATTTCCCTAAAGGTATGTTTAACAAAATTAAAGTACATGTGAGATTAGTTCAGGAATTTTTTGTTTACTAAAACTTACTCATTTCTCTTGCCAGTGGCATTCTGGGACTTGCCTTGGATGACTTTTCCATCACTGTCCTGGACATAGAAACTAGGAAGGTTGTCAGAGAGTTTTCTGGACACCAAGGACAAATAAATGACATGGTAAAATAAACTAGATACTTAAAGAAAATGTCCCTCATTTCTAATTTTATTTGCATTTAAAATGTTCAAATAATTAAAACTCATCCTTTAGTAGCCTTAGATATATCATTTATAATTTTAAAAATATGTAATTTGGAAACTAATTTTAAAAGAAGAGATTTTTAAGGGAAATTTAGGATCCAAAGAAGTTTAATATTTCTCAGGGGATTTGATGCCTTAAGATTAACAGTATAAATCCTACAGTTTATCTTTTTCTCTTAAACTCCAAATAAGACAAAAATATACTTTGGAAGATGAATGATCCATTGATACATAAATGTATCAGTTTTAGTTAATGAAGTATGCTGAGAGAACTAATTTTTCTTTTTCTGTATACATAAGAAAGTAATAATAAGAGATAGTTTACCTGGAATATTCATACTTGATTTGTTCTAGTACACTGTTATTTCTTGAGTTTATATATCTTAGCTCCATATAGATTAAATAATAAAAATATATTGTAGTTCTTAGTGTGGGATATATGGGGACAAAAGTTTTTAAATGTATATATTTCATTTAAAAAATTTTAATAAGTTTATCAGTTGAGAACTATATTAAGTATCTTATTTTGCAGGTACCTTGATTTGCTTAAAAATAGCAAAATTAAAAACGAAATCATAGTACTAAGTGACCAACCCAACAGCTACATTTTACTTGTCAGTCCTCACACCAAAAATCAGAAATGTGCAGGGCATAATCTTTTCCTTAAATATGGAAGAAAAAAATTGTGTTGTTCAGCTGATTGGCAATTAGCAAAATTACCCATCAACAGGATTTGTTGTGATAGCATCTGTAAAACATGAGTAGGAACGGGGTAATTGTGATGAAATAGCATTTTTTAAAACATCTGTTAGTATCAACTTGCTCTTCCTATTTCTTTCCTTTTTATACTTTACTTTCAACCTGTGTGTCTGGAGTCTACCCTTCTCAGTAATATACTGGTCAGTTAAATATATGAGTGTTTATAACATCACTTTCCTTCTTAGAGACATTTTTCACATCCATCACTCGCTGTACATTCATATGTAAATTGAGCTGTTGGTACCTTGAGGTTTGTGATTTTATAATATTCACTGTAGCCTAATGAAAAAATTAATATTCACATACTGTAATACCATCATTGATCATATGGATGATCATATTTCCTATGGTATATTTAGACTCCTGGAAAAACAGCCTCCTATCCTTACAATGAATAAGTCGTTGGTCTTGCAAAGTTCTATCATGATCTCCTGCTCAATTTCTATTACGAAGGCCATATTTTCCAACCACTGGTGATTGTTTTTTGTTTCCAACTTTTGCATTCTAATCACCAGTAATAACACATCTTGATTGCATGTTTGATCAATTTCAGACTGCAGAAGTTGGTAAAAATCTTCAATTTCCTCATCTTTGGCTTTGGTGGTTGGTGCATAAATTTGCATAATAATAGTATTAACTGGTCTTCCTTATAGGTGTATGGATATTATCCTAACACTGACAGCACTATACTGCAGTATAAATGTTGAAACATTTTTTGTGTAAATGAATGCCACACCATTCTTCAATTTGTCATTCATGGCATAGTAGATCAGATGGTTGTCTGATTCAAAATTACCGAAACCAGTCCATTTCAGTTCACTGACACTGGAGATCATATGACAGAATATTGCAAGACCAACTGTTTATTCATTGCGGAGATCACATGACAGAATATTGCAAGACCAACTATTTATTCATTGCAAATACTTTTTTTAACAACATAAATGGTGGCTATACATGTGAGTTTTACCAGATAGAATACATAGAAATCAGATCAACTATATCTGTGGAAAGAGGTGATGGAAAAACCCAATACGTCAGCAAAATAAGGCCATGAGCTGACTGTGGAACAATACTATCAAATGCTCATATGAAAGTTCAAGTTGAAGCTGAAGACAATTAAAACAGTCCATAAAAGCCAAAGTGCAAACTTAATTATTGTTGTTGTTAGGTGCCATCGAGTCATTTTCAACTTAATTATATCCCACCTGAATTTAGAGACCATCTAAACAATAGATTTGACGCATTGGACACAAGTGACTGAAAACCAGACAGATTGTGGGATGACATCTAGATCATCATACATGAAGAAAACCAAAGGTCGTTAGAAAGACAGGAAAGGAAGAAAAGACCAAAATGGATGTCAGAAGAGACTCTGAAACTTGCCCTTGAGCAGAAAATAGCTAAAGCAAATGGAGGAAATGACAAGATAAAAGAGCTGAACAGAAGATTTCAAAGAGCAGCTTGAGAAGACAAAATTATTATAATGAAATGTACAAAGACCTGGAGTTAGAAAACCAAGAGGGAAAAACACTCTTGGCATTTCTCAAGTTGAAAGAACGGAAGAAAAATTCAGGTCTTAAGTTGCAATATTGAAAGATTTGTGGGCAAAATACTGACTGATGCAGGAAAAATCAAAAGAAGATGGAAGGAATACACAGTCATTATACGAAAAAGAGTTGGTTGATAGTCATCCATTTCAGGAGGTGGCATATGATCAAGAAGCAATGAATGGTATTGAAGGAAGAAGTCAAAGCTACACTGAAGGAACGCAAAAAACAAGTCTCCAGGAATTGACAGAATACCTATTGAGAGGTTTCAACAAATGGATGCTGTGCTGGAAGCACGTACTCGTCTATGCCAAGAAATATGGAAGATGGCTACCTGGCTAACTGACTGGAAGATATCTACATTTGTACCCATTCCCAACAGAGGTGATCTCACAGAATGTGGAAATTATCAAACAGTATCATTAATATCACACGAAAATAAAATCTTACTGAAGATAATTCAAAAACAGTTGCAGCAGTATATCGACAGAGAACTTCCAGAAATGCAAGCTGGATTCAGAAGAGGATATGGAATAAGAGATATCATTGCTGATTTCAGCTGGATGTTGGCTGAAAGCAAAGAAGACCAAAAAGATGTTCACTTGTGTTTTATTGACTATGCAAAAACATTTGATTTTGTGGATCATAGCAAATTATGCATAACATTGATAAGAATGGGAATTCCAGAACACTTAATTGTGCTCATGAGGAACCTGTACATAGACCAGGAGATTGTTGTTTGAACAGAACAAGGGCAAAACTATGGTTTAAAATCAGGAAGGATGTATGTGAGGGTTGTATCCTTTCACAGTATTTATTCAATAAGTATGCTGAGCACATAATCTGAGAAGCTGGACTAGATGAAGAACACAGCATCAGGATTGGAGGAACACTCATTAACAACCCTTGATATGCAGATGACACAACCTTTCTTGCTGAAAGCGAAGATGATGTGAAGCACTTACTGAGAAAGATTAAAGGCTACAGTCTGCAGTATGGATTACATCTCAATATAAAGAAAATGAAAATCGTTACAACTGGACCAGTAAGCAGCATCACAATAAATGGAAAAAAGATAGAAGTTGTCAAAGATTTAATATTACTTGGATACACAATCAATACCAATGGAAGTAGCAGTCAAGAAATCAGGCATTGTGTTGCATTGGGCAAATCTGCTGCAAAGACCTGTTTGAAGTGCTGAAGAGCACAGTTATTTCTTCAAAAACTAAGGTGTACCTATCCCAAGCCATGGTGTTTTCAATTGCCTCATCTGCATGTGAGAGCTGGACAGTGAATAAGGAAGATCCAAGAAGAATTGATGCTTTTGAGTTGTGATGTTGGCAAAGAATGTACCATGAACTTCCAAAAGAACCAACAAAACTGTCCTGAAGGAAGCGCAACTGGAATGGGCAGACTTCGTCTCACCTACTTTGGTCATGTTGTCAAAATCATGCTTGATAAAGTGGAGGGTCAATGAATAAGGGGAAAGCTCTCAACAAGAAAGATATACACAGTGGCTGCAACACTGGGCTCACATATAGCAAGGATTGTGAGACTGGCTCAGGACCAGGCAGTGTTCCATTCTGTTGTACATAGGGTCTCTATGAGTCAGAGCCGACTTTATGGCACCTGACAACAACCATTATAAACCTTAAAGATTTGGTACTTTTTTCACATCTGACCACCTCTTAAAGATGCTACAGTAAAGCACCATTATTTATCAATTTTTATAGATATAAAAGATATAACTTCAAGTGATGTGAATAGTTCATT